TACCTCTCTCTATTAACTACGAATTGTCTCTATCCTGCAATATATAACTTCGTTATTAGAAATAATAACATAAAAATTTAATGTCCTTTCTATTTACTAATAGGGCTACTTCCTTTATCCTTGTTTCCAATGGCTGGAGTCGCCCCCAGTCGAGAAGAACTAACTGTGTAAACTTTTCCTTGTGTTTTATCCCAATAACGTGACATTTTAGAAATTTTAGTGTCAAACAATTAACTACCCTAAAAAAAAAAATAATAATAAAATATATATCTATATATATAATAATAAAAAGTATATGTAACTACTAACTTCTTGTTAAATGGCAGTATATATTTCAACTAAATCAGGTCAGGGAATTTGGGGGCATGTCATCTGCTGATGGCGCCCCCATAACTTGCAAAAAAAAAAATAATAATTTGGTTTCATTTCATATATAATTGTATATTTAACGCACTAGATGGCGCTTTTTGCAAATGAGGTAAACGAAGATAATGGCCTATGTTGAAACGGCTGAAAAAGAAAGGTTTGTATAAAAAATATTTGAAAATTACTTAACTTTGATTACATTAATTACTGATTTTTTAAATTTGCTAACATTTTGTAATTTTCTTAATAAATATATTAGAGCTGGGTGATATAGGAAGAACTTTATATTTCAAGAGAATAGAGTACACTATCACAGTTTCACTATCAGTATCAGGCAGGCGGTATCACTGCTTGTATTAGTATGCTGGGAGAGCATGGATTGCTCATCGAAATTATATTTTAAATATCTCTTCAATAGATCATTAGAAGTTTACAACACTATACTTTGTAAATATCATGGCAAAAAAGTTTGAATTTCCTGTTCTCATTTCTTCTGGCTCTGCTTCTTTTTTTATTTTTATCACATGATAACTCAAAGTCAAAAACCAAAACAGTGGTCTTCAAACAGTGCATCCGCTTTTTAAAGTATTATAAATAACTAATAATAATTAAAATCAACATAATTCCAGTGTAAACGATGTTATCATTAATCCCTGAAGTTAGCTTTCTTACTGAAATTTGGTGTTTCATTAAAAAGCTTAAGTACAAGATGAAACAGGAATTACCAACCAATAATAGATAAATGATAAATACCACAGTTGGAACCTCATTGTATTTAAAAGTTGGTTATAAGTACAACCTTCCCATGTTTGTTGAAACACTATATTAAAAATAAAAAAACAAGTAAATAAAAAACTTAAAAAAAAGGAAGTCAATGTTGTGATGGTTAATATCAATCCTTCAAAAAAAATGCAAGTAAGATAGTAGGGATGACATTTGCATTATCCCTACATAATAGCACAGGCAAGAATAAACAAATATATATATGTATATATATATAAAACTATTCAATCATAGTTGAGTTTAATTCATTCTATTTTTATGATATTATGTAGGGATGATGCAAATTCCATTCCTACTATCTTGTTTGCATTGTTTTCAAAGGATTGATATTAGCCATCCCTACATTTACTTCATTTTTTGAAAATGTTTATTTTTTACTTGTTTTAGACTACAATAATTAGTATAGTATAGTACACATGTAACACTGTTGTATGAAAATGGTAATTTACAATTATTTAAATTAACATTTATACTTTATAAAATTATAATATGAATACTTCTACAATTTTAACAGCGGTCCAGCACCACTTTGTACTAGTAATAATAACACTGAAAATAAGCTAGAACTTAGAACTCTGATCTCATACATTTTATTATTTCCATCATGATGTGTCATCAGACAAACTACATATATTCCACAGAAACATACTTTGTCCAAAAATTAAACAAGTTTGAGTTTAGCCATGAAGCTTCCCACATTTAAAGGAAGTTGAACATACTAATGTTATGCTGGTAATATTAACTACTTTATTCTAGATTTATAATTTCTTTTGTTTTTAATTTCACTACTCAGACCACTAATTTGCAGTTTATTCAAGTCTTAACAATATGAGACATATAAATATAATTACTTCTAGGTTTTCTTCATCCAAAGAAAAGAAACTTCAAATTCTGAAGCTTTTCTTTGTAACTAAAACTAGATATCAGTCTAATAGCCAATATCAGCACTGTTTCCGGCTTGTTGAAATCTTTTTTTGTGTTGACTGGAATAAGAGTACCAAAATTGCACACAGTATTTTTAATTGATTGAGACCTCATTTGAATATTATTTAACTTTTAGGGATAAGATAATGTTTTATTATTAAATTTACAAGCTGCTATAAAAATATTTGTTTTTATTTTATCACAATCAACTGCTCAACTAAGAACTTTAATCACCAGTGACACCTAAATCCTTCTGTTTTTGAACCACACTAATGTTTTCCTCATACAAGAGTAAGAGTTATTTCATATCACACATACCCCAAGAGGAATACTTCACCCTTCTCAACATTAGAACAAATTTTCCATTTGAACCTTCTCTAGACTCCAGATACTTTATTGTAAATAAATTTAGAAATAAGAACTTTGATTTAAAACACTATTTGAAATGTTAACATAAATAATAAACAATAAAAGACCCCTGAGGGATTCCACTAGTCATCTTATAATCAGAAACATATGACCTCTTACTATGACTTATTGCTTTCTACTGTCAAAATGATTTACTAGTCACTTCTTTAACTTTACTTTGACTTCATAAGAACCCACTTTGATTCTAAACTTCTTGTGTCAAAATATACTACATAATAGATTATGGGACATTAAGTGGCCTTTTGATCACTCAAAAATGTCTTAACTCTCAAACTTTCTTAACAAATAGATAAGTATTCAGTAAATCCAGCCTTGATATTTCAAATATTTATCAGTTCTCTTCTTAAGTTCCTTTAGATGGCATTTTGTTCCATAGATTTAACACCGTATTTGAGAACTGAAACTGCTTCAACTGAAAGTGTGCCTGACCTTTCCATATCATTTAAATTTGTCCTATTGCCCTAAGTATTCAACACAAAACACTTATTATCTGTTCCCATGTAATTTGGAATACTTCAGCTAGATCAACTCTGACCTCTTATAGTTATACTCTTACAGAAAATACAGTTAACAAATGTGGAGATAGAATAGCAAAATTCAATCATTTTAAAACTACTATTCAAGACAAGTCATAATACAGGTAGGAGTATGAAAAAAAACATTTTCCCAGAAATGGTGGGTGGACAGCATCCACCCTCATGTCTGACACTGGACTTTTATTGTTTCAAGAGAGAACAAATTAAGAGATCTCAACCTGCCCTCATATGATAGCCAAATTTCCCCAGAATCATATTAGTAGACCTTCTCTGAACTCTCTCCAACAACTCAGTGTCCTTTCTATGATAAGGAAATCAGAACTGAAAACTACACTCCAAATGAGTCTTGATATCAATTTGATATCCCTCATCCACTAAAGCCAAATTTATATCTAGTGCTAAAGTTCTCCTTAAAAAAGTACAGTTTATCATCTATGCCAGGACCTGCCCTCACAATGTACAGAGTAAGTGGGGTACCTCAGGGCTGAGTGTTGGAACTTTTGTTCTTTTTTTTAATCTATATCAATGACATAGATAAAAAACTGGTCAAGAAATTGTTTACATTTGCTGATGCTATTAATGTTTTGGATGTCGATGGCTGCGAGGAGGATGCTGCTGCTTTACAAAAGGATCTAGATCATTTGGTGAATTGGTTAAATAACTGGCAAATGACTTTTAATTACAATAAATATAAGGTAATGCACATTTATTATAATAATTTAAATTGTAACTGTTATTTTGATGGGAATAACTTTAACAGGGTTAACATAACATATAACACTAAAGGACAACAAGGGACCTTTTGATCCATCTAGGCTGTTCAATTTGCTAAGTTAAACTAAACACAAATCCAGTCCTTGTCATTGAAATACTTATCAAGCTTCCTCTTAAACTCCCTATTGTTAACTGCATCTACCACATCTAAAAGGCTAACCATCCTGTTAAGAAAACTAATGCTGTGTTACTGAAGGTGACTCCTGCTATGCCAGAATTTATATTTGTGTCTCCTAGTCATACTGTTCTCAACACTAAATACAAAAAAGATGTTGCATCAACACTATCACTTCCTTTAATACTCTTAAACACCTCAATCTTAATTCAAGAGAAAACAAGTTCAGAGATCTTAACCTATCCTCTTATGACAACTTTTCCATACCAAGTATCATCCTAGTAGTTCTTCTCTGAACCCTTTCCAAAATTTCATTGTCTTTTCTGAAGTAAGGAGCTTAAGACTGAATGTAGTACTCCAAATGTGGCCTAACCTATGATCCATACAATGACATTATAGCCTCTTTAGCCTAGTATTCAGTATTTCTGTAGATACAACTTAAAATCCTATTTGAACTGCCATTAGCAACAGTATATTGCTTGGATGGCTTAAAAGACTGATGAACCAGAACACCAAGATCCATTTCTTCCATAACACTTAAGGTTATTCCCATCAAACTTATACTCCTACTTGAAATTGTGATATTCCACATGCATTATCTTGGATTTATTATAATTAAAAATCATCTGCCATTTATTCTTCCAATTCACCAAATAATCCAAATCCTTTTGTAAAGCAATAGCATCCTTCTCACAGCCATCGACATCCAAAACCTTAATGTCACTGGCAAATTTAAATAATCTATTGACCATTCATTCATCTATGTCATTAATGTAATTCAAAAAGAGCAAAGGTCCTAACACTAAACCCTGAGGCATTCCATTTGTGACAATAGACCAGTTTATAAAAACTCTCTGCTTTCTTGCATCTAGCCAGTTTTCTATCCAATGAGCCAACCTGTCATCCACATCTGCAGAGAATACTTTTTTCACAAGCCTTTTATGTGGCACTTTGTCATAAGCTTTCTGAAAATCGAGATCTGTATGCCTCATCTACACAAGCAGTAACCTCTTCAAAGAATGTCAAAATAGTAATAAGGCATGATTTTCCTCTAATGAAGAAATGCTGATTATCCAACAACATTTTAAACTGTTAAGCACTTTTCATCAAACTTTCAAAACCTTTTCCTACCACTAATGTAAGACTAATAGGGCTATAATCATTGTGACAGTTCTTATCACCTCCCTTGAAAAGAGGAATAACAGCAAACTTCTGGCATCTTCCCACTGTTTAAGGACAGATGGCTCACATATCTAATCCTTTACCTCTTTTAAAACCCTTGGGTAAATATTATTTAGTGTCTGTGCTTTATCATTTTATAAACTTCCCAGTTTTTTTTTTCTTAACAAGTTGAATTAATGTTTTCATCTAGCAACTCTTTAGGATGAGGAATATGGGTGAATCTCAAACAGTTGTACCATGTCCAATCTGTAATGGTAATTTTTCAAATTATTCCCAATACTGTCAAATTATATTTTTTTTGCAAGTTCATGTGTTGTATTTTTTTCCTAAATGGGTTACGCCCCTAATTTTTTGGCTAGATTTCTAAGAATATGCATTTAGAGTACCATTTGATGAAAAAAAAAGTCCTATTTT